TGCTACTGAAGACGAAACCACTACAACAAACATGCCCGTGCTACTGAAGACGAAACCACTACAACAACCATGCCCGCCCTACTGAAGACGAAACCACTACAACAAACATGCCCGCCCTACTGAAGACAAAATCACTACAACAAACATGGCCCCCCTACTGAAGACAAAACCACTACAACACACATGCCCGCCCTACTAAAGACAAAACCACTTCAACAAACATGCCCGCCCTACTGAAGACAAAACCACTACAACAAACATGCCCGCCCTACTCAAGACAAAACCACTACAACAAACATGCCCGCCCTACTGAAGACAAAACCACTACAACAAACATGCCCGCCCTACTGAAGACAAAACCACTACAACAAACATGGCCACCCTACTGAAGAAGAAACAACTAAAACAAACATGACTGCTCTACTAAAGACAAAACCACTACAACAAACATGCTCGCCCTACTGAAGACGAAACCACTACAACAAACAACAAGTGCCGCGGAGCGACAGCGCTCATCTAACGTCTACTGCGGTGACACTGTGGTGGAGTGGTGGGATTCTAGTAAACCCTGTTAGTCCCAAATGTGTTCCCATACGCGCCAAAACAGTGGAAGACACAGGGATGGTATCTGGAACCTTCTCAAAGGAATGTTCGTTGGGATCGTTAGGAAAGTTGCCACGAGATGGCGTGTACGTTTAAGTGTCTCAAGATTAAAAATAGAAGCTCCCATCGTACGTAACAACTATTTGCAAGACAGAATAGGTAAGCACTCATCCATTTACCTACGCAAGCCTACAGGCTGAAATAGAGAGCTCCCACCTGTAACTAATTAACGCAGGCAAAAACTACACAGTATACTATCACCACCACATGCACTGGCAGTGGCCACTGGCAGTGGCCACTGGCAGTGGCATAAGTTACATGTAACACACTGACAGTACAGAATGCCATAGAAATTATACGATTTAAAGAGCATAAACCTTCTTCAACAAAATTTAGCTTTTGAAATTCCACTGTGACATTGTAGCCTCATACATCCAGGCATGTATAGATTCTACTACCAAACCCGGCAGTCAAATTCTTTCTAACAGTAAGCAAATCCATGTTTACCCCTCCTCTTGAGGGTCAAAATGTTATCCGACACTTACTCTTCGCATGTCAGCAGAAAGTACATTTCATGGTCCTTTCAACAAAACCATAAAAATGCTTGTTGAAAAAGAAGTTTTTCAATCGCTCCGTCAGACCATGTCCTCAGAAAATGTCTAAAATCTGCCCTGTGCCCCATTGACATTTGACCTGTGATCTCCAATTTCGGCACAGTGATAGCTTTTCCTACCATGATGCTATACACCGACTATCACGAGCCTAGGTCGAGCCGTTTAGGTTTGTGCCGCAATTCTGCATTTCCTCCCTATACCTTAAGTTAAGGAAAAAACGTTCCCTTCTTTTACACTTCTTGACCTTGGAC